TTATAACCCTGTAACAATCTGTGTGTTCACAAAAAGTCGATATGTATTACTGCTTAATGACCATTTTAACCTGAAACCGCGAGGTAAACTTTCCTCCAAGTGCACGTTTACGCCAACTCAACTTGTGTTTACGTCTGACTTTTCGACATTAAAAGTTCACATTTCTGTTAAAAACGACTCATTATCGACGCCTGCGTGCACACATGTTGAAATATTTAAGTTTATAATGGATGTAAACAGAGTTTGCACACCGCTGCCTTACCTTGTTCGCTCCTCTTCTTCTTCGGCTCTCATTTCAGTAACGTTAAACCACGACCACGTGACCTGCCCATCCAGTGACGTCACCCAGGCAGAAGGGGGAAATGTACCTGTTAGGAAGTAGCACACCTGAGAGATAACTAAACACAGATACTGTGACTCATTTATAATTTTACAGTCTCTTACTCTGGCCCCTCTTGTGTGAGTGTTTATTTTGTAATATCAGAGTCACTTTATCTTTGTTTTATTTTGAGTCAATGTGATGGCGCTATAGGAAATGTTTTGTTTGTGTCTGAATAATCCCATGAGGGATGAGCCGTGTCTTTATGAAAATAAAGATTCATACACTTATTCATTAATTAATATTCTGCAGAGCCAATGAGGTCCCACAAAAGTAGAACAACAAAACAAACAAAAAAAGAAAATAAACTCACAAATGTTCGACAAACAATTTGAGCTTTAAAGGTCACATATTCTCCTCCTCTTCAACCAGTTTAAATAAGTCTCAGAGCTCCTCTTAACATGTCTGTGAAGTTTCTTGTTCTAAATCCACTCTGATCCTGTATTTGATCATGTCTATAAACCCCTCTATTTCAGCCCTGCTCAGAACAGGCTGTTTCTGTGTCTGTACCTTTAAATATGTAAATGAGCTGTGTCTGACCACGCCCCCTCTCTGGAAGGGCTTTGGGTGTACTCGGTGCTTTCTCGCTCCATGTTCTATTGTTTACGATGAGAAGGCAGACTCAGTCACCCACCTGGGGGAGGGGCTACTGCCCTTTGTGATGTCATGAAGGGAAAATCTCCAAACGGCCTGTTTGAGCACACATTTTCTGAAAAGTGGAGCAGGCAGAAGACGGAGAGGATGAACTTTCTCATAGAGGGGGGTTTATAGACAGACTAGGGACACATGGTAAAGTGTATTTTGCACAATATGTGACCTTTAAAGAGAAAAGTAAAGTTTTTAGGCAGATTATAGTTTGTTATAGTGCCTCAGTACTATAGTCATCCAGACATTTTAATAGTGTTATCCAGATTACCTATTGTGACCTCCTGCTTGTTAAATTGCAACAGGAATGTACACGACATAGCCCGAGGCCATCAAATCTATGAGCCTGCAGAGTCAGAGTCTGACTGCCTAACACCTCTTCTGTTCTTTAATTCAGGCTGCTGCTCAGGTGGAGGAATCTCCGCCATCTCATCTTCCATGTGTACTTCAAGGTAACAGATACCCACATTTAAAGTGACAGAAAAGCAACAAAAGCAACAAATATTGAAAAATAAGACAGCTCCATAAATGAGTTTTATTTGTAATTCAAAGTCGTAAAAAAAATGAAGAATTTAAAGTTTTCATCACCAATGAAACACATTTGTTTTGATTCTTTAAGAAGCCTTTGCAGACTGCATTAAACAAATGTAGTTGGCTGGATTATAAACTAATGATGTTTTTAAAATCTTAGTTTTACCAACAGGTTTCAAAACCTTTACACAGGGTATAAAAAGGTTAGGTTGAGTCAAAAGCCACATCCTAACGTATCACCTCCTATACTGTCTTTAACCAGACCGGTAGTATGCAGTTACATACTAAACTACCAGTCATGTGACATAAGTGTTAGACTTGCATGATTCATGATCCACATCCAGTGACAGTATATGTCATGGTCAGGATTTGAGTTTAGCAGGTGACACATTCAGTATGTATTGGATGGTCTTGCAGGAGGACGGTGTACACGTGCATCGTCTGCTGTAGTTTTATCACAAGGAGACGTTTTATTTTTATTTTTGTGCTTTTTGTGCCTTTATAGGAGAGATAGGACAGTGGATAGAGTCAGAAATCAGGGAGAGAGAGAGAGTGGGGAATGACATGCAGGAAAGGAGCCACAGGCCGGATTTGAACCTTTGCCACCGACTTGGGAGACTATAGCTTTCCATACATGGGGCGCGCACACTAACCACTGCGCCCCACAAGGAGACGTTTTATCAGTCACCATCTCTGCTGCATCTCTTCTCCTCTCTGCCTGCACGCTGCGGTCACTCTCCACGCAGCCGCTGCATGAAGCAGATGCTGCCAGATGCTGGAGTCTGACTGAAGTCTGACGGGAAGGTGAAAATATTTTTTAAATAAGCTTAATTTTGCTTTTCAAATCTGAGCTCTGTGGGGCTGCAGAACTGTGTGAAGGGAGCATCATCAACACCTGTGGACACCTGGTAGGTTCATTATAAGACTTTGAAACAATACTTTACTAAAGTCTGATGAGTGCAGTGTAACGAGGAGGACATATCCAGATCATCTACTTAAGTACAGAATTAATACCACACAGGGAAAGACAGCCAGGAAATGTACGGAAAATATTAAAGTAGAAAAATAGGAATGATAGATTATTAGTCTTCATGCATGGACGTTAAAGTGAAGCTTCACTGCTGATGTTCAGCTCAATGTTTACATTTCCATAAAGGACTGAAATAATTCATTTTACAGTTTATTTTCTGGCAGCGTTGTGGGAGTTTGTTTTTATCCAGAGATGATTGATGGATCTAACCCAGAAACTTTTGGTTGTTTTCCCATCTTCCTTTGTTTCTTCTTCTTCTTTTTTACTTACAATATTTGCACGTAATGGTCCATGATCAGTCTCAGACTCTTTTCTGTTAGTGTTCATATGCACTGGTATGTATGTGTAAAACCTGTAATCAATATTAACTCAACTTCAATTTAAGGGTTTCACCGTTATGCCAGTCTTAGTAGTAAGTTCACAGAATTTATTCAACATATTTACGTTTTGAAATTATGCAAACATTTTCAAACAAACAAACCAAGAGACAAAAAATTCTCAAATAACATCACAAAATACTTTTTTTTTTTTACAAAGCAGCACTTGAAATGTTTGTTTATAATATTATTATAATAGGTAGCCTACTTAACAAGTAGTTTAAATCTCTTTATTTGCTGAGGAATAAAACATTTAAAATGTCAGATTTATCCTCAATTAAAAACAAAGAGAACAACAAGCAGAAACTTCAAGAAGCCAAATAACAAAAGGAATAAAGAAAAAGAGAGAAACAGGTTAAAAACATCAGGCAACAAATGGACTTGAGCTCTCCAAATAATTATTCCACGTTTGGAGAGTCCATTGACGTTATAACTAATCTAGAGCTCTCAGACTCAAACTGGGATTTATGGGCTTAAAGCCAGTAAAGTCTGCACTTCTTAGACTGCCGCAAAAGAACATTAATCCTTTTTTTTTTTCAGCAGTTGTTGAGATACGAGTAGTGTGTATCTACGTTTGGCAAAACAGATGTTGGCCAAGTACTTATCAGCAGAAGTTTTGTAACTTTGTACCAGTGTTTAGCCAGCTCCCTTGGGATTACGATCTGTGATAATAGTATCTGTGGGCAGACAGATCATCCACAGAGCACCATCCCTATTGTGACACCAACAATTAGTGGTTTTATTTAAGTAAGAAAAAGAAACCAATCCATTATTAAAGAGACTATTAAATTTTTTTTTAAGTATTTCTCGTGTGATCAGGTGCGATACAAGATAATTGTTGGATGTCTGAGTAGTTGTCAAACACAATAGTGTGTGTGGACATCTTCTGTGACTGTGCCACTGCAGATAGAAGTGTTCAGGGTGGGGTCTTCTTGTCTATTTTTACCACCTTTCTCTTCACCGATAGTGGACCGTTAAAACTATTCTGAGCTTTACAATGTGCCTGGGTGGATGGGATGGCAAACCATCAGTCCACCGTTCTGGTGCAGACCTCAACGACTATCCAATAAATAGAGTTGAAATGTATAAAAGACATTCATCATCCCAAGAAGATACATCCAGCTGACTGTGAGAACGCCCTGACTTATCATCAGGTCAAATGTTTCAGCTTCACAGTGAAATATCTATACAAGGTGGAAAATTGTGGTTCTTTCATTTGTGGTTTCTGTGGGATGAATCCAACTGATATGATTAAGAAAGTAAGTAAGTAAAATTTATTTATGGAGCACCTTTCAAGAACAGATGTCCCAAAGTGCTTCACAATAAATAATTGAACTACGGTGGCTGGGAAGTGCAAAGCAAAATTACAAAGTGTGACTCACTTTGAGACAAATTTACATTTTGAAAAACAGTTTTACAATTTTATAAAACAAAATTACAAAACCAAAACACTAGACACATTTTCAAGTGGTAGAACACTTTTACTAGTCCCCAAGAAACTTTACAAATGACAGAATCTTGACAGAAAGGGAATGTACCAAATTCAGGAAGTGACCTGGAAGTGATTGAGTGACGGGTAATTGTTTATTTTGGCAGAAAGATTTTGAATTCTGCGTTGTCTCATCGACCTTTTTTTGCTTTAGGGCCAGCAGGAAAAGTTCAGGTGAAATATTCTGCTGTCTGTGTCTCACCCAGAAAATTACAAGAAGTTTTCAGGAGTTTTGTGCATGTGAGGAAAAACCAAAACAATTCATTGTGAATGTCTGTTTTCAGTTATAAAAAAAAAACTTGGTTTGTCTTAAATGTCTCCCAGGTGTTCCGCAAAAGTCTTTCAGGGATGGAGCGGCCAAACTACACCACACAGCTTTTACTGCAGCTGAACCAGCAGCGATCTAAAGGATACCTGTGCGACGTAATCATCGTGGTGGAGAACGCTCTCTTCAGGGCTCACAAGAACGTCCTGGCGGCCTGCAGCAGCTACTTCAAATACTTAGTGCTGCATGAGAACCTCATCACCCTGAACACAGAGATGGTGAAGCCCTCAGTGTTCGACCAGGTGAGTAACCCAACAAAACAAACGATTCTTTGGATTTCTATTTAGCTAAGGATATGCATTGACTTCTGTGGGATTTATGTCTTCCACTTCTGCAGGTACTGGACTTCATGTACACAGGTCAGCTGCCTTCCTCCAATCATTTTGGTAACCAAGGTGTGTCTGACCTCCTCAGAGCTGCTTCCTACCTGCAGCTGTCAGAATTAGCAGCTCTCTGTCGCTTGAAACTTAAAACCCATGCGTCGAGCAATTGGCACCCGTCAACCACCTCTTCCCTCAGCACCAAGCAACATCCTCAAGTCAGCAGGAGCTTCAACTCTGGGTCCTTGGAGGGCAGAAAGAGTCCTAAAAATGGGCTGCCAAGGACAGATCTGTCGGAGGAGGAGGTTTTTACTTCCACTGCAGCTTGCAGGGTTGAAACAGGACTAAAGGCGACCATAAAGGATCGGGCTGGTAGCACATACAGCAGCCTGCAGCAAAGCTCCCCTCGCTCCAGCACTTCTTCTTCTTCTTCTTCTGATGATTTACCTCTGAACTCCACCTCGGCTTCCCGTAACCCAACATTAAAGCAGTGGTACTCAGCGATAGATTCGCAAACGGCGGCACAAAAGAGACCCCGATACGGCGGGGACGATTGTTTGGGAGGAAGCGTGGGAACAAAAGGACAGGAAGTGGAACGTGGAGAGCAGATTGGAGCAGATTCTTCGGAGCAGGAGGACCTGGAGAGGGTCAGAGAGGAAGATTTGGGCCTGGAGAAAGAGCTGCAGAAAAGAGAAGAAAGTGGAAGTGAAGACGAGGAGCTGAAGGGAAACAAACACGCCAGCTATGTTTACCACGAGCAGCCGCAGAGGTTTCAATCTTCTGCACACGACAGCACTTATTTGTGCATCCCTTGTGGGAAAGGCTTTCCGAGCTCGGAGCAGCTGATTGCTCATGTGGACTCGCACAAAACCGAGGATGCAGAGGAGAGAAGATTCCTTGACGCCGAAGAGAATCCTCCATCAAGACCTGCTAAAGAAGAGCCAAAACCTGATGTGACAGCGCCTCGCTTCGACTGCTCAGTCTGCGGTAAGATCTACATGGACGCCTCGTTGCTGAATCAGCACGAGAGGAGCCACAGGTCGAGCCGGCCGTTCTCCTGCGACATCTGCGGGAAGCTGTTCACCCAGCGGGGAACCATGACGCGGCACATGCGCAGCCACCTCGGCCTTAAACCCTTCGCCTGCGACGAGTGCGGCATGCGCTTCACGCGGCAGTACCGCAAGATGGAGCACATGAGGATCCACTCGAGGGAGAAGCCGTACCAGTGTCAGCTGTGCGGGGTGAAGTTCACACACCAACGCAGCGTCATTGGCCACCTAAAGATGCACCTGATTGCAAATCACAAAACTGAACATTTTTAGTTGTAAGACCTTCCAGCGAGTTTGACTGCAAAATAATTTAAGTAGAAATATATTTAAGTTGTGAATAAAATGATAAACTGCAAATGAAAAAGTTCATTATCTGCAGGATTTTACTAACAGCAGCTCACAGATTAATGGGCTGTAGTTTAATCAAATAACTGCGTGGTAAAACGCTCTTTAGCCTCTTTAAATTGAGGAGTTTCTTCAGTTCGGAGCTTCTTTTAGTGTTTAGTTTGTGTTGTGAATTCGGCCTCTGGGGCCCCGTTTCTCTGCAGCTCAATGAAAACAAAAAGGAGACATGTGGGGGGTTTGGTCAGTCCCTTTGTGGACGCGTTTCGCTCCCACCGCCGCCTTCTCCTTTGTGTTTCTGGCATAAATTCTCCCTCCTTGATGGGTGTCTTTCTTAGTGGAGAAAACTTTAAGGAAAGAGATTTTTTTAGCATCTGTTGAAAATGTTTAACATTTTTAGCCTCGGACATTTCTTCTTTTCTTTGCTTCCCTCTGTCCTATTTCCTCCTGATTATCTCAACCAGCAATGATAAGACTTCAGCCATCAAATATGTAATAACAGAATGTGTGAAGTGGTTTTTTTTAGGGCTTGCTATGAAATGTCACAGAGGTCAGAGGTCAGCGGTAAAGAGGCTGGAGTCACATCAAACTCTGCCCTCTTTGTTGGTTTCACTTCACACCGACACGGACGAGTTCACAAACTGAGACGATAGAAAAAAAAAAAGTCTGTAAAGCTTTTCACATTTCATTTAAAAAAGTGGAGTGGCTCCGTCATTCACTTAATTTAAAGATTCAAAAAATTCCCAATGATCAGCTGCAGGATAACATTTTTGTTCAGTTCGATAAAAGTCAAATTTGTGATGAGTTTTAATTATGCATATTTTTTCTGCTCTTCTGCTTAACAAAGAAAAAACACACAAATAACTTCAAGTACTCCAGTTTCCTGATGAAATGTACACACGTTTAATCTGGAAATAAGACGTTTTCACACAGAATAACAGACGTGATCTTAATCTGAACCAGCAATGATGTCTACACACACACACACACACACACACACACACACACACACACACACACACACACACACACACACACACACACACACACACACACACACACACACACACACACACACACACACACACACACACACACACACACACACACACACACACACTGATTGGTTCACAGGTTACAATGGACTAACTGATTTAAAATGACAGCAACAAAATAAAATCCACTACATTAAAAATGGCTTTCATCAAGAATTGATCAAGTCTGTTCAGAAGCCATTTTAAAAGGAGTTTCACATCTGGAAATACTTAACATGATTTAAAGACAGCAGCTGCGACATGAAACACTTCTCACACACACACACATGTTTTTTGATGGAAGGATTTACAGCAACAACACACAAATACAGCATTAATATACAGGAATATATTGCATAAGGTTAGGGTTTTTTTAATTATCAAGTAATACTACAGCTGTGGTTCTACCGAGGGTAGGAGAAATGGCTTTTAGGTTTCACCATCATCATCATCATCACAGTCCTCCGACAAAAAACCCAAACCCAGGAGTCTCGGTACATCTCAAACACTCAAAGAGGAATGTTTCTAAACGGGTTACAAAGACTGTAAAGGGAATGCAAACATGGAGAACACCTGTAACATGAGACAGGACTGAAATATGTGTCATGCAGGGATGTAGAGCTTCTGGTCCTCCAAAACAAAATATACGTTTTTTGTTTGTTTTTTTCCACTAGAGGAACTTATTGACATGCAGCCATTCTCACAGGCAGCTTTTCATTCTTCTTCAGCGAGGAATTTAATGTTTGCACTGCTCAGAGGATGCAAAATACTCCCGCATCTCCTGGTAAACAGTTGAGGATCAAGGTGCATCATGGGTAATGTAGGTGTAAGATTTTGTGCTGCGTTTTTCCTTTTATTAAAGAAATATCTAAGGCCTTACACTGAGAAGTTTTGATATTTAACTCAATAACTGTTAATGATAATATTTAATGCTACTGTTTTGTTTTTCTGTCATTTTCATCAAATAAAGAGTTAAAGATCCCATATTCTGTCCTTTTTGGGGTTCATATATTTAATCTATGTTCCTACTTTTGTACGTTCACAATAGCTAAAGTTATAAAAAAGTGTCTGTTTTCATGAACTGCTCCTCCTTGCTCCCTCTCTGCTCTGAGTCCGTCAGCTACACTCTGTTGAGCCCACACTGTTAGACCCCACGTGGGCCAAGTCTGCTCTGATTGGTCTGCCTATCCGCTCTGTTGTTATTGGTCAGTTGCTCAGAACGCGTCTCGGACATTTCAACATGAGCTGCAGGGCTTGCCACAACGAGCCAATGGGCTTAGATCTGTGATCTCACACTGATACATTTTTATGGAAGGGGGCTAGAACTGAGCGTTACATGCGGCTAATGCTACAGCTAACAGGAGGACGTAGGAGAAGCCGCGTTTCTGCGGACTTTGAATTTTTGCACATAGATGTTCCTAAACATGCACAGGACACTTGGAAAACACACTGAAGAGCATATAAAACCAGAAAAAGCAGAATATGGGACCTTTAAGTCTGTTTTATGCACGGACATGTACAGAAGAGTCGGGGCCACACTTGACACATATATAATAAAAAAATTAATACTTTTTTTTAAATTTTGCAGATAGGGTTTCAGTTTTTCGAGCCAGGTAAATGAATAAACAATTAATTAGAAAGGAAGATTTTTTTCTCATATTTTGAATTTATTCTCACTATGCAAAGAGAAAAATGTCCTCCTCTCATTTTCATAATGCTTTGTACCAGGGGCGTGTGCAGAGGGAAGATCAGGGGTGGCCTGGGCCCCTGATATCTGATTGGCCACCCCAGGGAATACCCCGAAATCCTAAATTATGATTGGATTTTTGGCTTCTCAGAGGTGGGACCTATGTTGAAATGGAGGCATGTATCTCTGTGTCGAAGTAATGCCCACTGAAGAGACCTTCAAACTCCAGACAACATGTTTCCATGCCAATTCACGACTTCTCATTGAGGCATTCCCAAAATATTAAACTACTTTTTTTAACCCTTACTGCTAATAAATCAGTGACTAATAATAGTTTAGGTATCAATACAACTCTTTCCTTTTTGATGACGCATAAATAAAACAATTAAGTTCTTAAAAACTTGATGAAATTGAATATTTACACCACCTTCTTGTGGTTTCTTTAGAGTTCAGGTTTGGGGTCTATACGAACCTGTAGTGGAAAGAATGTGCTCAAAAACACCATTTAAAGTTTGAAGCTGACAATGAGGAGGTGTGACATGACTGGATTTGATCCGTGTTTCTGATAAATATGTTCTTCACAGATAACTCTTCAAGATCAACACGAACCACAGAGTGATCCGCTGTGATCTGAACGCGAGTCGACAGTAAATATTTGACACTTAATTCTACAGAATGCGAACGTCCAATCCTCTAAATACTCCTACATTCCTAAAGTATACTGTTAAGAGTAAATGCTGATTGATTCCTGCATCAATGTTTGATCTGTCGCTGAATCAAGAATAGTTTATTAATCGATTGATTTTTCTACTAAAGATCTAAATGTCATGGTTAATCTCTGTATAAGCTCTTCAGGTATAGATAGTGAAATACTGGGATTTATAAAGTGCATTAAAGTGGATAACAGCATAGAAACACAATGGTGATAACAGCTGCTTGACAAACACTATCAACATGGCTCCCTCTATGGCCATCGTCCTCCGCTCAGTGTTTGCCGGATAACAAAGAACAGCATCGAGAAGAAAACGCTTACAGGGTGATTCAGATACCTCTCCTGGAAACAAACCCATCTTTACTTTAAACGAACTCAGGTGTTCCTTATAAAATCACAACTTACAGTATGCTGAATAAAATCAGAGTATTTGGATCAAAGTGCCATGTTGTTGTTGTTGTTGTTGTTGTTGTTGTTGTGGAGTCCAGCAATTGATTGAAATCATCCAAAGTAACGCGTTGCATTGCTTGTGTCGAGTCGATTGTGTTGGACGTACAGTGGAGGTCCCGTCGGAGACTTTTTTAGTACGGGATTTGGTTCTGGTAATACTGCAGCATGTCGTACGTTTTGCTCCTGTTGAAAACAAGTTTATAAAAGTGTGTTAGTGGGAACGCTGTGGAGACCGTTTTTATCATGTTACAGAGGAAGTTATTGTTTTAACGTTTCAATTGTTTCCATTAGTCATATCGTTGAACTCAGGGAGTGTCATTGTAAATTCTTTGTGTTGTTATTTTGCACATCAGTATAATGACAATAAAGCTTTGTATTTTTATTAATTATATTTTTAAGCCCTGGTCCTGGTTTAACCATATTCTTTTTATTTCATTTCATCTCTCACCCCTCTTAAACTGTCTAGGCTTCTTTTTTTTTTACGGCCAGGGCTGACCACACCCCGCTCTGCAGCTGGTATTAAAGTTTACCACAGGAAACGTAATGCCAGTAAAATGTCAGAGGTGGCACGTGGGGGTCTCTTTTTATTTGAGCTTTTATCCTTTATTTTGACTGGACAGTGGATAGAGCAGGAAATCGGGTCAGACTTGAACCTGGGCTGCCAGCTGGGAGGACGTCAGCCTCCATACATCGGGCGTGACCTAACCGCTAGGCCATCTGCGCCCTGATTTTTACAATATTCTGGCATCTTTACAGAAAAGGTCTTTAAACACTTTTGGAATATCTCCAGGATATCTGCTTTAAAAGGCCGATTCCAAAATGGTTGTATTCACTCTGACGTGAACTAAAAGTGCTTTTTGTCCATCGACAAAATCAGTCGTTTCAGGATTTTCACGTCTTATACTTCCTCAGATGACCCAGGTTTTAAAACAAACTGGAATGTCCCTTTAAGTGAGAATCAGCTGCAGAAAGAAAGGCGGGACTTCTCTTACCTGCTACTGAGGAAGCAGCTTTGGATGACTTTGATGATGAACGCCGCAGCTTCTTTCTCGCTCATTTGAGGATTAAAGCGTCCTCTGACAGAAAAAAACAAAAACAAAACATTCCCCTGTCAAAGTGAGTCATCTGTTTTCTGGCCATCAGGGGGCAGCAGATCAAGATTCAAACAACAACCACAGACAAACACAAACATTGTGAAGTTACAGCTTATTAGCAAAGAGTTTACTTTTTATACACAAACGCAAGATACAAAAAAATATAATTATTACCTTACAGCTCTAAGTTTATAGAGATTAAGTGTAAAATAAGAATCTAAATGTGATAATAAATCTTTAACATAGATAGCTGCAAACTGAAAAGGAAGCAGAACTTGGCAAAATTGGCTGTTTGCTGCAGTCTCTTTATTTTTACTCCGACTTACTTAGACATTTATCTGTGTGACTTACTTGAGGAGTTTGATGGTTTGTCCTCTGAAGCACGGCAGTCCAGTGTCCAGCATGAGGGTCACCAGAGAAACCACGGCATCCATGTAGGGTCTTTGTTTTCAGAGAGAAAAAGAAACAGCAGCCGTCATGAGAGTGAAAAAAACACACCAAAAGCATTCTCAGGTTACATAACAGGCCGTTTCCAAAGACTTAAATCTTCATAAAAAAATGTTTTAAGCTCATTCAACAATCTTAAATAGCTTTTTTTGTGTTTTTAAACCGCCTGCAGTCCTCTTTCTTTTTTTAGCAGGTTCCTACCGTACAGCCAGATATCCTCTGACACACATCTCCATGAACCACTTGAAAGGCGTGGCCTCCATCTTGCCTCCCATTATCATCACCATCTCGTCAGTCAGCTTGATGTCCGGCTCCCAGCCCAGGTTTCCTCCAGGAGAGCTCTCGAACATGAAGCCAAAGTCTGCAGACAAAAACACAGCAGACAACCACCATCACTCATGAGAATAAATACACTTCTCCGAGGTCATTCAGGCTGTGTGTGTGTGTGTGTGTGTGTGTGTGTGTGTGTGTGTGTGTGTGTGTGTGTGTGTGTGTGTGTGTGTGTGTGTGTGTGTGTGTGTGTGTGTGTGTGTGTGTGTGTGTGTAGGCCACACCTATGTGGATGAGGTGACCCTTGCTGTCCAGCATGATGTTTCCGTTGTGTCTGTCTTTGATCTGCAGCAGGAACAGCAGGAGGCTGTAGGCGGCCATGCTGCGGATGAAGTTATACCGAGCCTAGAAGGCAGAAGAAGACTCTGAGAAACTTCTGGAAACATTCTTGTGTTTTTTTAAAAAGCGCAACATGTGGGGGGATGAAAAATGAAGCTTAAACAGAGACAGAAAACTGCAGTTCCTTAAATGGCCACTTGAGGCTGCTGAAACAAGCTGATCTCCAAACACCAACATTTAAATGCCTGCTCTTCTTTTGATGTTTGAGAAATAATCGTACTAGGAACACAAAAGAGTTTCATAACGTCCTCACCTTCTGGAAGGCGAGGGTAGATTCGTCTCCGTACTGGTTACGGAAGTAATCGTACATCCCGAAGTCGGTCTGCCTGCCGAGCTGATCTCTGGACTTGCAGTCTGGGATGCACTCGATCACACCACACTGAAGAAAACAGGATCAGTTAACGCATGTCTTATTATTCAAATAAATATATGTTAAGAGTAGGGCTGCACGATTATAAGATAAGATAAGATATCTTTATTGTCACTGTACAAGTACAACAAAATATTGTTGGAGCAAGCCTGCAGATGCCTAATATCAGTATATAATATACAATTAATTTGCAGGTGACAGGTATAGAATAAATATATTGCACTTAGTTATGCAGGACTCCAGTGGTATTTTGTAAAATAGAAGAATGTAAAAACTACACACTCAATAAAACAAGTTCTGCTCTTTTTAGACATTTATAAAAATCATGTTCGATGCAAAAAAGTGAAAAATGAAATTATAATCCAAAAATTCAGTGTTAAAGTTCAATTTAGTGGAGAAAGATTCACTGATTGACATTTGAGATTTGTTACGGTTAACATCAACATTCATATTCAATGGATTGAAAATAGAGATCCAGGCTAAGAACGTTTTTTAAATGAAGTCATGAATCAGAGAATTCATGATTTGTTTGGGGTTCATGGGACATGGAGTCTTACCCCTGGTGCAGTAGCCACCACTCTGTAGGGGAAGACGAACAGATCCAGGCCGACCAGCTGGAAAATGTTCTTAAAGAGGCCGATGATCTGCAGAGCGAGCATATCCTGGAGACACAGAGACAAGAGAGTCAGATCTTCATCTCTGATCCGTCACAGAACAGAATCGGAGAGGATAAAGGACGAGGAAAGCTACCTGTCTGCAGTCGTCTCCCACTTTAAAGATGGCCGCCTGCCAGCAGACCCTGCGCGATCCGTCTGGGTTCTCCTCTCCGTCCTCCAGAGAGTCCGACGGGGCGCGGAGACCCTCCCTCTCCAGCTCGCTCACCCCGCAGCGCTTCACCTTAAACTTGGCCAGGTAGGGCGCCTTGGCAGCACTGTGACCACAGGGAACAAACTCTAATCAGAACACAGATGTTTCAAGAGGGCGCAGGATCTCTTCCTGAAGCATGAATTGAAATCTGTTACCTCTGCATGGGGGTTCCAGACTTGTAGTCGATGTCCAGCACGATGGCTTCAGGGTTACTCGGGAGGTAACAGCCTAGAAAAACACACAAACAGACAAACCTCAGGCTGCGCTCAGAAAACTCCGTTGACAGTTTTTCGGTTGTACTGAAACAGATTTTTGCATCTCCACTCTGACACGATGTTTTTCAGATGAACTGTTCAAGCGATCACAAACATCTGAGGCACAAGTTTCCAGTGTGCAGCACAGCAAAGACTTGAAGCATTACCTGACTGAACTTTGATATCTGACAGAGCTTTCAGACAGGCTCGTTTCCTCTCCTCTCCTTTTGGAACCGGCCTGAAAAAAACACACATAAATCACATTACACCACATTTGTTCCCCTTGTTTAATAATTTTAGATTTCCAGATTTACGATTAAGCGTTTACTTGATGAGGGCGGACACGTTGGTGATCTTGTTGAAGAAGTCGAACTCTCTCTGGTAGAAATCTTTGGCGGGACCCGACAGAGAGCCTGTGATCTCCTCCACCATCTGCTCCAGCAGCTCCCCGATGTCAGCTGCAGCGAGAGCGAGATAATGAGGTTTAGCGAGGCAGAGATAAATGTTATTACATCAAATTATCTGGTTTAATTAAGCTTGATACGTCCCATTAGGGGAAATCGGCATAATGACACGTTTGCAAAGCATCACATTAACCTTACGCAGCGTGGGCAGAAAAACAGAGATAGAGGAAATAAAGTGATAGTAGATGAAGCAAGTTCATGAACTTTGTATATTAAAATGATTAATGAGCACTTGAAATTAATGAAAAATTGGTGCAACAAATTGCTGTCTTGTATTTTTTTACTCATGGTCATGGGGCTCAGTGGTGGAGTCGGTCGTCTTTAAACCGGAAGCTTGGGAGTTCGATCCCCAGCTCCTGCAGCTACATGTCAGACGTGTCCTTAGGCAAGACACTTAACCCCAAGTTGCTCCCGCTGCTTCATCGGCAGCTTGTGAATGTGTATGAATTGGATTGATTGGTCACTTTACACAGCAGCCTCTACCATCAGTGTGTGAATGTGTAGGTGTGACCTGCGGTGTAAAAGTGCTTTGAGTAGTCAGAAGACTAGAAAAGTGATATAAAAGCACATTAACTATTTATCTCTAAAACTAAAATGGGAAAACAACAGACATAATCGTAGAGTGCAGTGATGGGGGGGGGGGGGGGGGATATATTTTAGCCAGCCTACCACTATGCAATGAAAATATTTACAAAAGTGTGCAAAAGTGGATTATATCTTGCCATTCTCTTCACATACTGTCTCAATTCCCTGCAGTTTACTTCATCACTCATTCATTTTGTACTTGTATATAACCCCTATTTCTATTCATCTTATCTAATCTATTCTGTTTAATGTGTATTTTGTATTTTGGCCTTACTTGTCTGTGCTGCTGCAACGCCCGAATTTCCCCTCTGTGGATCAATAAAGTATTATCCTATCCTATCCTAATGGTTAATTTGGTTAAAATGGTTTAATGATTTAAAACAGATTCCAAAAATAAGGATGTCAAATAAGCAGCAGTTCCACACAGACTCCAAAAAACCCAGGCAAGATCTCAGCCGAGTTGTTACTCTACCAGTCTTATATTCTAAGTATCATGATTCACTGTGATGTAAAAGTATCTGCTCACGATCTTTGGTGTGTGCCTCCTCGTCCATGAAGATGTTGGTCTTCATGTTCCAGATGAACTGGTGAGCGAGAAGCTGAGACTTCTGGGCCGCCCACAGGATGTACTCTCTCACATAACCCATCTGAAGCGGGACACAGTGTCACAGTTACTCACTGCTGCTTCTTTAATGATGATGAAACGATGATGTCAGCAACCATCACTTCTCCGGATTGGTAACCGTTCTTCGAGCTACATTAATAGTGACTTCAAAGTGGTGGATGTTTACCTTATCATAACGGAGAGCCTGAACAATCTGAGGAATGTAGAACAAGATGGCATCCTAAAAACAGGAAAAAAAAAAACAGGGTAAAGTTAGGAGAGCTTGAATTTTCCAAGGGGCAAAAGCAAAGACGCAAACATCTATGAGTGCGTGTGACTTACAGGAGGGAAGGAGCGCAGCACCTTGACCCCGTACTGAGCAGTGAGCGGATGAGGAGGGTACATGCTGCTGAAGTAGGACAGACCGGTGGGCGGGTCTGCCGGAGCCCAGCACAGGATGTGACTCAGCTCAGGAGAGTCGGCATCGATCGTGTGCCAGGTCACCAGGAACTAGGCGGTGAATCAGGGAAAGAAGAAAATACATATTTTTTAAAAACAGGATTCAAAAGCAACAAAACAACAGATTTCTGAAGCTCACTAGCTGATGATGGTGACCTCACCTTGACGGCCTCGGGAACGTCACTGACAGCTCCAGGGTCCAGTCTCACCAGGCGGGTCACTTCGGCAACAATGGCGTCGTTCTTGAACCTGGAAGCCAAGGAGTCCAACATAAACATGAGGAATGCTAAAAAAATCAACTATTAACAGGTAAGTAACCTACAGTCCAAGCAGGGAACAGTTTGTTTTAATTTTTCTATTTTAATGTTGCTTTTCTTTCCTCTGTCATGATGTTTTTAATGTCTTGTGTGAAGCACTTTGAATTGCCTTGTTGTTGAACTTGCCTTGCCTAATCCCCTCTGCAGTCAGGTTACTGAAGGATCCTTTGGTTTTTAATACAGTGTGTCTACATATTTTCTTATGGAACTTTTTATAGAACAGAAGATTTGATCCTTTAATTGTCATTATTCTGTCTTTTTAATCATTTATGCACATGTCCTCTGTGTCCTCGTTCAAGACACTTAACCCCAAGTTGCTCCTGCAAGATGTGTATGAATGGGATAGGATCATTCTGATGGTCACTTTACTCAGCAGCCTCTACCATCAGTGTTTGAATGTGTAGGTGTGAGGAGTCAGAAGACTAGAGAAGCGCTCCCACTTCCAGAGGTATTCCAGTGTGTTGTTGTGACGCGTACCTTGTTGGTAGCTGCATAGCCAGGTATGGAGCGATGCCCCAGGCCAGGTTGACGTTGTCCTTCCACTGCTTCTCGGTCAGACTGATGTATTTGGACCTCCAGTTGGCGATGCTGGTCTCCACTGACTGCTCCGTAGCGATAGCCAGCTCCTGAGTGGACAGCGGGTTGTACCACGTCGTCAAACGTTCGATCTCACTGGCCTGGGAGAAAAAACACAGGAGCAGACAGAAAAGCATGAAGAATGGCTAAGAATTAGGGGAAACCCAGAAACTGACGGTTTATTAATCAGCTCTCACCAATAAAGCCAGCAGCAGAGTCCTACGTTTCATGTAGTATTTGTGCAGCTGCGTCCCTCTGTTACTCTTCTTGGATGTTCCTGGGAGCAAAAGAAAGTTAAAAAAAAAAGTCAAACTATCGTGTCTGTTTAAGTTCTCAGATTATTTTATATTATTTTATATTCTTGTCTGCATCAGTGTTTTGGCGACTTGTCCCCTCTAACAACAGCCCAGTTAGTTTTTCTACTTTGAGGTCCAACACGAGCCAAGGAGACTACTTTCCCTCTGTCAACGTTATCTTTGGCAGACAAACATCTGAGCATGCACTTCAAATCAAAAAGCAGCCATGGTGGAGAATTAGACTGACAACTGCTAGTTTCAACCCAAACTACTTCATTGATAATTTTTCCCATTCTTCCAACTTGTTTTTTAAATATAATAATGATTTATCCAACGTAACGCTCTGGTTGAAATGCTGTATTTGTATTTGCATCAATTTGGATATGTTGAGACATTTATAATACAAAAACTCCTTCTTAACTTATAATATAAAAAAAAAAAACTAAAGATAAAAACTCAAACTAAACTCAGAACACGGCCAACTACTGTAAGCCAAGGCTCCACCAAGGGTGAAATTTCAAAATAACATGCAAATAAATATCACTCTTTGTGACTCTAGTGTCTCATGCAATGATCGAATAAAAGTCACATTCGCTAAAAACTTAAGTGTACTGCAACCTTTCCCACCTTCAGAATTTTGATTCTTCAGATCAGTGCCTAGGTTTAAACTGCAAACTTGTTTAAAGTGGAGCCACAGAAGAAGTCGCAAAACACTGAATATGTTAAACTTTGAGATCAGACACATAAGTGAGACTCACATGTAGGAACACATCCTGGCATTAACACACAGGTTAGAATATTAAAAATCAACTGCAGGGAGCATTAAGAAAGGTTTACACTGTCACTGTATAAATATTGTTAATGAAAGCTGAATGCACACTTTACCTGACTTCTTGGACGTGGTGGACATGCCACTGGACAGCGGGTAGGTGTTGATCCATCCCTGACCGCTCTGCTGGGAGCGAGAGCTGGAGTCGATGCTGCTCCTGAGGTCTGCAGAGTTCATCACTGACAGACTGTTCAACGACGGGTCCTGATGATCTGTTTACACACACATCCATTCAGTACAGCCATGGCACGATGATACATACGAATCATGTTGAATTAAAGTATTACAAATGAGTATATGGACTTGTAAACAGTGAAGAACATTGATAAATGGATCGATGATGAGGGATATTCTTGAGCGAGATGAGCGGGATCAGTTAGTCCTCTGCTGTTCTGATGATCATGCTTCTGAAAAAATCCTGCAGGATTTTTTTATGCAGGAGAAACCGGCCCCTAACCACTGACTCTGGGTCAGATATGAATTTGTCTTGTGTATGCGCACGAGGCTCGAGACAAATTAATCAGATCCAGGATCAGCAGTTTGAGGGCTCGTCTACCTGAAGCGCTTCGATGTGTATGAGAATGATACCATGTTTTTTCTCGGGGTCGTCGGGGATGAAGAGGAGAGGACTTTCTGGGTTGGAAGAAAAAACATTTTTCTTTTCATTTTTTATTTTTTTGGGTGGGGGGGTTTCTTGATTTGATGCCATGTTGAGCGAGGAGAGGGGCAGACTGGTGGGCTGATGATGAATAGTCATGCATCTTGACGCGGCGGACAAATTTGCGCTTTTCCTCACAGCTGCTACATATGAAGGATAGAACACAGATTTGAAAAGATTAAAGAGCAGAATACGAGACAGCAGGAGAAAGAGAAGATTTGATTTTTAAACCTGGGCTCTACTTTTCTTTTCTTTTTTTTTTTCTTTTTTTACACATTTTGGGATCTGAGCTTGGAATTGCTGCTTTAGATTGCTTCAAGCTGCAGCCAGGAAACAGGCTGTAATGGCTGCAATGTAATCCTTTGTGGCAGAGTGCTGAAAGTTCTCTCTCCACTGATAGGCTCAGGTTTTTATTTTGAGAGTCGGACAACAATATCAAATTATTACCTAGAAAAATGTCGCTCCTTTTTAAGAGTAAGATACTTTTTTGAAACCAGACACAGTCATTATCTCCGTCACTTCGATGCCACCAAACCTCATAGACAAAAACAGTCATTTGACTTTGTAGAACATGAGAAAACTGGTGTACCTCTGCCTCCATTTCACATTTTTTTGTGCTATTTTGTGATTTTTTAAAATAAAAAACTGTTAGTTTGGATCCAACACAATGTTTTTAAAAGACAAAATATCACAAAAACAAAACAAATCGGAGAAAGCGCGAGGTAGATCAGAAACTCCCGTGTTCTTTAGTTTCTGGTTTCAAAAATGAGAATCTTACTTCTCCAGAAAAAGGGAATCCCGACACCTTGCATGCATCAAAGCCCATTTCACAGCCTGAAGGGGTCGCTTGGAGCAATTCTGAAACTTTGAATCTATTCCCTTTCAGACACCAAAATATGTAGCAGACAACCCAGGCTTCAAAATAATGCATGGACATTTTGAGATGAGGCCCAGAGATGGAACAAGAAAAGAATGCTTTTCAAACATAGAAAGCTTCATTTATCTATATATAAACACAGATTTATTCAAAATGTATATATATATATAGATATATGTTAGATAGATTCCTGAATCTATCTGCAGCTGAGTGAGTACAAACAGCGTCAAATTTGACCCGCGTGAAAAAGCATGCCCCTGCTGCAGTGCAGTCCGAGCTCCACCGCTTTAGGCTTACTTAATAGCGATATCGGAGAAGTGCTGGACACGATAAGCGATCCAAATATCCCGGCAGAGAGCGTGCTCGGGGCTGGGGTTGTACCAAGCTCACCCGGTGGGACCAAGTGGCACGCTGCCAGGTACTTCTTGTCGGACAGGATGCTGGCATAGAAGCGGATTATGATGCTGATGTCCTCCCGGAGGCTTTTGTCGCCCTGGGTGGGAAACTTTGGAGCCATGCTGGAGACACAGAAGGAGAGTTAAGATGAACAGTTTTTCAATTCAACAGTCACAGTGGCTTTAAAAAAATAGGGTTTGATTTGATTTATATGTTGTGCTATCAGTGTTTTTTTGAATGCTTTGGGAAATGCAGATATTCTTTGTAAGGGGAGAAACAAAAGTCTCCAGACACAAGAAGACCCTTTCTAATGTTTTATAGAACAACAATTATGCAATTCAGTGTAAATATATATGTCAAACATTATAAGAGTTAAATGCTCTTGCATCGTGATTTGACTAAGCTTGAGGGTGCAGTGTGTGTGTGTGTGTGTGTGTGTGTGTGGATACCTGAAGTAATCAAAGGCCGTTGAATAGATCTTCTCTCTGAGCACATTTCTTACAGTTGAGTTCGTTAGGACGTCCGAGTGAAGCAGAGCCAGACCCAGAGTCAGCAGCCTGAAACACAGACACATGATCACTATAAATACATCTGCATCACAGATATTGATAAGAGTAAAGAAAGAGATGTTTAATCTCTTTAATCGCAGGAAGAGCCACTAGGTTGAGAATGTTTTTTTATCAGAAAACATTCCTGCATCATCTTTAAAAACTTTGCAGGGGTTGTTTCATTACCTGAACGAGGTCCAATAGCAGCCACATGTCGGTTGAGGCTACTCTTAGCTCCACCGACGTTGAGTGACAGCGAGCGTTGGAGTAAACTTCCAAAGATCTCCACCTGATCTGCGCTGGAGTATTTAGCTATCTCAAACCTCTGGACCAGAAACTAAAAGGAAAGAGGCGGAACAACATAGTCATTTTGTTAGCGATTGATTGGGACACGTAATTATATATTGAACAGGATGTCTTTAGTCTGACCTCGATCCATATTTGGTGAGGGGTAACATCTGGAGGGCAGGGCACGGGCTGACTCTCCTCTGATGCAGCCAGAGGGTCTGCCTCCACCTGAGCGTCTGAGAACAAGCCCATCTTCAGCTCCACCGTCATCTGCCACGCTCCGGCCATCTCCCGCATAAACTAGACAGCCGGAGAGGAGATTAATAATATAAATACACGTGGATATCTAAAAGATTCAACTCATAAACTATGACTTTTAAACTGGCTGTTATCAGTTGCATTCACCTAAATGAGAAAATAAAAAAACATCTACATACTGGTACTTCGATTCCAACACGAGCTGCCAGCAGCCACTCCCAGCAGGCGATCGCTGTCTCCATGCCATGAGCCGTGAACATCTTAAGAGGGGACCAGCAGAGGTGGTGCAACAGCTGGGGATCACAGTCTAGAGTCCAGGCAAAAGAAACACAAACAGGAAAGTCAGACAAACAAAATCAAAGCGCTTATAGAAAAACAAAGAGCCCCTGCATTTAGTATAAAACACAGTAAGAGGTGGTAAAGGCAGTAATGAAAAGTAGAGAGAAACAGTGAAACCTTTTGAGCTGATGAGCAGAGCGGCCAGTTTGAACATGGCCTCAGTGAAGGCTTCAGGCTGTGCAGAGTCTAAAGCTTCCCCCATCTGCTTGATCATCAGACGGCCCAGATCAGGCTGTCCTCTAACAGCCTGAGCGAAGTGGATCATACCTGACACCTGCAGACAAAGAAAATATATATGAGCAGGAGAAGAGCAGTCGAACAGTTTTTACTCACTCGAGAAACTTTTTATCCTAACATACTGATTAAATCATCGCTGCAGCTTCGGTTCAAAATCAATTGACTTTTTCACCCTTATTCTGATGTCATGCAACAAAACCAGAAAATATATATAAGAATTGATGAAGTTGTGAATTATTTGTTTAATTAGGACACAGCAGGGGTGTGAGTGAAGAGTGTACCCATCAGAGAGGCCTCATAGGGCAGACAGAAGTCAAGAAACAGGGACCCCATACACATTCAAGATGATTCCTGGGATTAAAAGAGCTGATGGCAGTAAACATTTGCTATAACAAAAGTGTCTAATTTGGTAGCTTTACCTCTCCAGCGTATCTGTTCCTGAGGTTGAGGGAGGCCATGAAGTTTGAATAATCCTTCTTCACACAGGAGGGCCTCTCAGTCAGCTGAGTGGACTACAGGTGGAAGAATATGAATTAAACACGGGAATTGTAATCTTGAAGAAAGGACTTAAAAAACCAAAAAGTTGATTAAGAATACTGACAGTATTTGAGGCACATTAGCACTGTTTTTTTTAAGTGGCACAGGACTTTTACAGGTTGAAGAAGAAAGACTGCAGCTAAGATTCAGGCCTCTTTTCAGACATTAGAAAAAGGGAATATTACGATCACATTCAAGACACAAATGCATCTCTAAATGGGGCACCATTGCATAATGGAAGGGTTGTGAATGTATATCATAACTTTACTGGTAAACTGATCTAAAATTATAATCTGTGCATACAGTCAAAAAGACATAAGCAATAACTCTAGAGGCAATTGAACATGGTGTCCCACAGGGCTCTATTCTTGAGCCATTTTTTATTCCTGAAAAGAAACTATTCATTTGGAAATAAATGTAACCCTTGTTAGCATTAGCATAGGATAAGTCATTTTTGGCTTACCCCAGCGTGGTGCTCTGTCTGTTGTACCCGGCGAAGTGAAGGATGCTTTCTGTGGCCATGGCGAGGCCAGTGTGCTGGGAGAGACCTGACACCCAGTTCTGGTGTTTGTTCAGATACTCCTGAAAGATGACATGAAAAAAAAGGTTAAAATGTTCATGTGTGCTTCAAAGTTGGAGGATTGTGACACATATGTATGTTTGGGCCTTTTTGCCTTTATTGAATAGGACAGCTGGAAAGAGAAAGTAAAGTAGGAGAGTAGGAGAGAGCGGGGGGTTGACATGTTTCTGCGATGAGGACTATAGCCTCCACACATGGGACGTGAGACATAACCGCTAGGCTATCCGGTGCCACATTTGTTTTACATATAACATATTGGATTAAAAAGTTTAAAAGGTACCTGGAGGTGTGATTTGGTCACAGATGGCGCCCACTTCATTGCCTCTTTCAGGATCTCACCACAACGTGCAGCAAAGTCCTTCACTATACTCTGAAATGAGAAAAAGAGAAAATACATTTTTCAGGATTTCAAGGTGAATGTTAATAAACTATGAACTAGAAAATAATTTAAAATGTATAAATAACTCAAATATATAACAGATTTAAATCAAATTGTATGATTGATCTTTTATTAGTGTATTGAAATTAAATTAAATGTATGTCTGTATTGAGAGAAATGTTAAAAATAGGAACTTTCTTTAGATTTCATAGCTCCATTTTCTTTTATCATTTTAGATAAACTCTACATACAGATGTAGAAAAAACAAGTTAGTACAGAGTAGTGAATACTGAATAGTTGAAGCTTAATAAAGACCATTACCTCTCTGGCTTCATAAGTATCTGGGACAGTGATTCTGTACGGCGTGTCTGGGATGTCGTAATAAGGTTGATCTTTATGAATGTCCTGCAACACAGCACATCACATCATTTAGAAAGAAAGACAATTTGGAAGATTATTAGACACTGATGTATGTTTTTTATCGCTTACTGCACTGAGGGAGAGGGAGAGAGTCTGCAGGATGTCTAACATGGTCCTCAGCACACGACCGCTCCACAACAAGTGAGGGAAACTGAGCAGAGAGGAAAACGATGATGACACTTCTGGGTACAAGCCTGATTTTTGAGCTTTCATATGAAGAAGTCACTGCAGTATTTTGAGTAATGAGCGTGTGTTGCGATGCACTCTCACGTTTCAGCCAGCCAGACAAATATTTGTCAGCCACTCTGCGGATCCTCTTGTGGATGTGGTTGAAATTGACCAGAAGGAACTGAGCGTGACGTTCCAGCTCCTCCTCGTGGGCTTTGGTTTTTGGCTGAAAATGAAAATATTTATCAAAACTGGGTCTTCGATTATCAGTTAAATACGTCATTTTAATGCCAATTCAGACATAGTGTTGGTATTTAGTAGGCCTACGGAAATAAACCGCCAAAGTGAGGACACAACATTTCCTGTCCTGCAAAACTTTTAAGTAAGCAAAGTTCAGTATTTATCTAAGACGAGAGCTGAAGGAAGCAACAGTTAAAAGTTTAGCTAACTAAGATCTCTGCAAACCTGGAAAGTAACAAAGTGTAAAGGAGAGTTACTTACTTTTTCAGCCATCATATGCAGGAAGACTTCAAAAACCTTGTCACTAACAGCAATCACACACTGCATCATGCCTGGGGAGAAATGGGATATATTAATGCAAATAATTAACCAGTAACAGCAAATCATTTTCAGAGTCTTATTTCTCCTTTTGCTCACCAGATTTATCCTTCTGAATCGCTCTGTCTTCAAAGTATCGGAACATCACCTGGAAGCGTTCTGAGTCCAAAGCACGCAGCATCCTGAAAACGAAAATAGCAGGAAGAAAATTATATACAAAATCAAAAAAAAGATAATAATATGGTCAAGGATTTCAAACAATGCATGTCATGTACACATGTTGGCATACCTCATGTATTCCAGTCTGTAAACAGACAGTAAATATGTGGACATGGCAAAGTCCAGTTTGTTGATGAGAGCAGCGACCTCAGGAGGAGGATCCAGCAGGTTGATGATGGTGCTGCGCAGGTCATTCAGCTCAGCCTGAAAGTTAAATCATAAAATCAAGGAGTGCTTTACATTAAGCATTTTTGTGCATAAATGTGAGTCGTTGTTCACATACCGGGGTGACAGTATCGTTCTTCAGAGCCGAGTTGTACTGGAGCTCAGAGCGTAATGGTTCCCCACTGGGAAATGTGAGCAGCGGTGATTTGGTCGCAATCTCACAAACTCCCTCGTACCATTCCTCCGGCCACAGACCTGAAGATTGAAGTACAAGCCATTGGATCATTTGGAAATTAAAACAGAAATCCATGCATTTTACACCTGTTCCAAATGTATAAATATTTTGGGGTGCACTAATAGGTACACACAGTTTTCTAATTGCATTAAAGAGATGATAAGACTGGTGCAGACCTTTTTGTTAAACACTAAAATGTTCTTTTTAATCATAAAGTTATTTTTCTCTTTATAAATCCACCACGCTCCAAAGACAAAAATGGTAATTTTACGTCACAGGGCACAGGAGTTGCTAGTCTACAGCTGCCTTTTGCAGATTCATATTTTATGCAGCGAAGACAGAAACAGAGAAGGCCGTACCTGAACCCTCCACTGCAAATCCCATGACGACAGAGTAGAGCCAGAAGTCCCTGAATAGCTTCTGCAGACGTGGCTTGGCTTCTTTAATTGGTGGCAACCTTTTCGTTAACTAAGAGCAGAGGACGCAGAGAGGAGAGAAAGATCCCTGGAGTCATTAAAAAAGTTATTTTAGAAGTGATGAGACTGCTAAGGAGGAAGACGGACGCAACAGAAGTGAACAAAAATTGACCTTAGAAAACAATGTGATGAAGCTGAAAAGGGTGTAAATATCAGGAACACTTACGACTGCAATAACTGGGATCAGGACACCGAGGTTTCCAGCACTGCTTGATGCCTGTAAAGACCAAAAAACAGAATTAGACATTACAAAAAGGATAACAAACAAATACAAAAAAACAAAAATATTTTCTTCGGCTCTTCAATAAAAGTTCAAATATGTTTAAACATCTTTTCCCATAACCTCCAGCCTGTCAGACTGTGCTCAGGGCTAAATGTTTATCTCAGAAGAACCTGGGACTAAAGAAGCTGCAGGTGTTGACTTAATCTCTCTCATCTGTTCTTAATACGCTCTCAGGTACAGGAATTAAAGCGTGTGTGCCGTACCTTCAGAGCCGGGCCTTTATCTGGGGCTCTCTCGCTGGCTCTCTTCCCCTCTAAGCCGAGCTGAACAAAAAGCTCCAGCAGGTTGACCAGCAGCTCGTCCACCATCTGTTCAGCCTGGAGGTTGGCGGCGATATTTCCCAAAGCGTTTATCACGGCCAAGGAACAGTGTCTGTGTGCGGGAGAGGAAGAGTACATGAGGAGAAGCATACTGTATATCCCCAACTTGTTTCATTCCAAAGAACTGTTAGAATTGTTGTTTTTTGATGGTGGTCACCTGTATCCGTGGTCTTTGTAGTCTTTTGTAGAGTAGACCATGGAGCTGGCTTTGACGCTGATCTGCTGGAACAAATTCCACACCTCCTGGTAGATGTATTGCTAAGAAGAAGGAATAAACAAAGTGAGCCCGATGTGAAACTTTGACTTATATGACGCTTAGTTTTGCAAAGAAGGTACTATCATTGCCTCAACGTCCTCCCATTACTCATCTTCCCTGGTTGACCCATCTAAGCCTGAAGATATGTTTGGAAATTTGGGATCAAGTGCTAAAAAAAAAAAAGTGTTGAACGTGATAATAACGATATAAGTTTCTGTGACGGATCCTCAAAGCCTGCAAATGTACTTTTGTGTACATGCCGTTAAATAAGAAATGCCTCGTCTTTGCTATGCAGAGAATTCTGGGTCTAATCGGAAGATGTCAGAGCATATAGGACTTGTCCTCTGAAAATGTTTGAACCCAAAGTCTTCAATAAAAGTTATGGTGTAAGATGTGAACTGACCCCGTTTATTAAATAGGTAGGGTTGTGATTGTAATCCTTACATTCCCTGTGATGACCATGCAGCCGAGCTGGTCTACGATGAGGACGTCGAGCTGCGACGGAGGCTGACAGAACTTCTGCTGCAGGATCTGGAGGATGGGCTCCATCACCCTGGGGGTGTCTCGCAGAGCCACAGCGATGTGACCCAACGCCCTGATGGTGTGGTCCGGGATCAAGTGAGCATCTCTGAGGAAGGAGAAGGGGAACAACATGTGTGAATAAATACACTCTCAAGTCTATATTTTCATCACAGTCAGTAAATATGAAGCATCTCTTACTTGTCGTTCTCTTGATAGATGTACAGACGGTTGGAGAGACTGGCGAGAAAAGCCTCTACGATGACGTTATCCATGGTCAGTCCCGCTTTCAGACACCTAAGGATGAAGTAAAAGGATATGTTGATACCAAGCAGCATTGAGGCAGACAAAAAATATGGACCAAACCAAACCCCCAACCACACTCTCACATCTGTCCACAGGTCCTGTTTGTGCATATGTGTGTGAGAAGCATGTCACTCAATAACAGAGTGTACATTTAATTTAATAAAGTATTTCATAAAATACAAATTTAAAAGAAAAGAAAATCTGAAGATTCAGCTGTTAAACTTTTGCATTATGTTGAAGTTGTTGTTTTTATTTTGTTATCCCAAATTAACATATACAGTTATATTGCAGTGATCATGCATATGGACACACATTTGTTACCAAGTCAGCACTAGTGTTTGATGATGACCCCTCGCTCCTCTCTCACCCTCACACCCAAAATCCTCACTTCTGGCTCCAATAGATAGGTCTCCATCCACTTCTTTGAACGCTTCCAGTGACACCAGTGTGTGTGTGCGTGTGCTCGTCCAGCGTGTGTGTGCATGTGCTTGATAGTTTACCTGCAGATGTTATCTATGGAGATGTCCCGCAGCTGTTCGTACATGGACGGCTGGCTCTTCTTGCTTGAATGTGTGCTGAGAGTGGACTGGGAATGTTCGTTTGTCACGTGGATCTTTATCTCACCACCAGCTTTAAAAAAATAAATAAAAGGATTTGGTAAGAAAACATGCAATGGGATATAATATGATGTTATTGAATGATGTGCTGTAGGTCCTGCTGTTACCTGGTGTGTACTGGCTGTGGTATTTGTACAGCTTCACCAGAACAGGAGAGGGCACCACCAGGAAGTCTCTGAGCGACATGGTGACAGAGTGAGCCACCACAGGGAAGCGCTCGCACAGACGACCCAGGCCCTGCAGAAACACACATGTTTAGATGTTTACGCTCACATTAAGAAACTACAACAGCAGCACATTCAGCCTTTAAAAGAACTAACCCCGTCAGTCGCATAAGCTGTTTAAATGTAGACATGTAATTAGCCTACTTAAGGCATGTATGATTACACAATCAACTAGATTGCTTGCACCACCCTCCCTCCAACAGAAGCAGTCATCACAGATGCAGTCCTGATAATTAAAGTCAGCTGACTCTGGAATCTTCCTGATCTGCATGTTTACACATGCACCTCGCAGCGGGAGACTATCCCTTTTGAACAGGAAGGGGGGGGGTCTCATATAAAGAGGGGGAGACTAAATAGTGGAGAAGAGCATACTAGCAAACAGAAAACAAAACGAAGCAGTTTCATTAGTTGCATGGAGATCCCACAGGACCGCTCATACAGTCAATGGCCACGCACTCTCTGCAGGATATGATCATCATCACTCCCTCCCACTCACTCGCGGTGAATTTTACTGAATATTTATTTGCGTTGTCACATCGGCTCACCACCATTTCATGCAGAAAATCTTATTGGAGACTGGCAGGAAGAATTTGGGGTGCAAAATTCAGAGTTTTCTGGATGTGTGAATGCACCAATAGTGATGAAACATTTACATATTTACAAATGAAAACCTCTCTAGACAAAACGTGCCTCACCAACAAGGGCTGGAAAAGCAGAAACACAAAGCAAACAGGGAAGACACTCTCAATCTGCGTGTCTGTTTTAGTTCCCATTGTTATGCAGAAGTTAACCTAAAGTTTCTTCCTCCTTTCTTTCCTAAAATGGGTGTACGATAAGAGAAGGAGGAAGCAGCGGTTACCTGTAAGCAACAAATGAGGAGGGGCATGTGGGCGATGATGACTTTGCTGGAAGTCTTGGACTGCAGCTTCTCTGACAGTTTGGTGCAAAGATTCTCAGCTCCTGGTGAAACAAGAAAAAAGAGTGAATCAGTAACAAACTTGCAGAGAGACTACTTCCAGATTTGTCTGAATAAATGAAGTGGATCTACCCTGCTCTTCAGTCACCGCCCACACCATGAGGTCCACACACGCAGCGTTGGCCTGACAGCGCAGCTTTAGCGGGCTCAGCTCACTCTGAAGGTACTCGACGTCGTGCAGGATCCTCTGCAGCTCCGACTGACTGCTGCTGAACTGCTCCAGCACAAAGTCATGAACCTCCTTCACGTAGTCCGTCTGAAGGTCTAGGGAAGAAAGAAAATGCATCCTTAATGCTTCAGTCATACCTGGGGAAATGGATTTGTGATTTTCAAAGAAGTTTTTCTGATTCCTTACCTTTTAAATTGTACAGGGTGTCTCTTAGCATTTTAAATATGGCCACATAAAGAGGATCACTGAAGGTTTTGTAGTAGAGATGAAGACCAGGACTCGACTGAAAAGAGGAGAGGAAATGTATCAGAGAACCAGTCGTTAAAAAAACAGCAGACAAACATTTGCAGTGATTTTACCTCGACAAGTTCTGCCAAGGAATCATCCAGTGATTTTAAAAACGACTCAGAGACAAACTGTTCAACCTGTGAGAGAGAGAGAAAAAAAGTGGATTCAATTTCCATTTTTTTTTTTTTTTAATTATCAAATATGCATCTTATGTCATATTCAGTTAACAACATGCATCTGTTCCGCTGCTGACCATGTGCAGGAGCTGTCTGAGTATATCCAGAGGGACCTGAAACTCTCCAGTGCTGCACCCAGTGAACAGAGGGGAGACAGAGAAACTGGAGCTGATGGTGGAGAAGTAGTAGTCAGGGTCCACTGCACTGCCATCAGGGAGGTATGAACCTGAAGAGGAAAGAGAACTTTTGATGATCAACAAGACTTCATGATACCTTCATAACTTCATGATAATTCACAAGATAAATCATTCTTTCCTATGCATATGTTAGTCATTATTTAATCTGAATCTTACCCTAACTGTACACTGTTTCTCAAAATGGTAAACTATTAAATGTATACAGTAAGTCGTGTACATTTTAATGGCTTAAATTACCCTTTTCAATGCCCTAGAAAATACATAATAACATACATCGCAAATGACAAGTTCAATATAAAAAGACTAAATAACCCTGAAATCAACTCAAACGCTCCCCTGTGTATCCAGTGGATTCACTACACTACTGCACACTATCAATATAACAGAAAATTATTCTAATGAATCATTTCTTTATGAGTTGTTTGTGACCTCAAAGAACATAAAAATGCACAAGGGAAGAATTATAGAGCTGCATGAAGTTTCATGAGTCTGAAGAATTTCCCCCACATGAGTCCAGATTATGCACGATGACCCTCAGCAAAAACTGTCGGTCTGTAAAACTCAATTAAACTCAATGTTAACACCACTTATTTGTTTTTTTAAGAGGCATTTTAAAAGACAAAAGACCACAAACAAAACAATTGTTTACTAAAGTACTGCATCTTTTTTTTTTTTTTTTACTGCACCAAATGAACCCACCAGAGGAGTGAAAGTACCCCAAAAAAACGTCTCCTGCTCTGATACAAACCTTCAAAGTACTGAGCAGAGGGATCAGCAGGAGAGATGGGGGTCAGGCAGGCTCTCTCTGGACTGGCCTGGAAACACACAAACACAGGTATGACAAATGTACAGCTTTTTATTATCAACTTCTTTTTCTAAATCTCCTTTTCTTGATCCCTTTATCTCTACCTGCTGTGACACACTGGGAAGAGAGGAGCCTTTACGCTTCAGCGTGTCTCCCTGACACACCGTGAGCAAAGAGCTCGGCAGGATGGAGCGGAAGTCGCTGAAAGAGCGTCTGTGCATGGCGTCGTTCTCTTCGGCGGTGGGCGGCACGGGAGTGACCGGGCGAGGGAACAGCTTGGACAGTAACGGCTCGTCTGTGTTGCTGTATCGTCCAAAGGCGCGAGCAACACCGAGCAGCGTCGGCACAGTGTACCTGCACAGGTATTCTGTGCGTAGAAAAGGGTTGCAAAAGGTAGTAGTGAATATTAAATCACTTGACAGGTGAGTAATATACAAAGGTGGCATGTGAAGTTTGAAAAGTTGGTACCTTTATCATGAGCTTCTGGAGTTTTGCAGATTTCCTGCAGGACCTGCATGATGTCCATAACGGCCTCCAAGATCTGAAGAAGATGTTACATCATCACATACACAACAAGACAATATCAACAAGCTCATATTCAACAATTAGGTTTTTTAGATAATCACTTGCTTGTATGTTAATTCAAACAGGTTTTGGTCACAGTTAATTCTATTTATACTGATGTGAGTGACGAAGGAATATGTAGTCTTTGTTCTGAGGTAAATTGAGTTCTAAAGTTCAGCTGAAGCTCATGAGACGTTCATGATGTCTGTGTCCTATAATCTGGGAAGTGAATATTATCTTAGCACACAATTCCTTCTTTGAGTTTCCTCTGACAGCGTGTCCTTGTTCAGCTGCAGCGAAGAGATACAAAAAAACAAGAAGCACATTTTTTTAACCAAAAAGGCTTCAGGCACTCTGGTAGACTGTCCAATGTTTTTGGTTTAATTACAGTTACAGCATGCCTACATTCTCACATCTCTTACACTGGAATCCTGTCTTTAAGGAGCTGTTTTTTAGAGATTCTTTTTTTTTTTTTTGATTGGAAAGTTAAAGAGAGACAGGCAGTGTGTGTGGAGGGGAGAGGGGTAGACATGCTTTAAAGGGCAGAGACCAGGAGCTGAATCTGCGGTCGATTAAACCAACAGCAGCTCTGTAAGGAGCCTTTTTTTTTTAAAGGCCAGCATGAAGATGAGGAACAACATCAGCAAACCAAAAAAAGACAAGATAAAACTGCAGATTTATTGATTAGTGGATTGTAAGAAAATTATTTTCCAACTGTTTGGAAAACAAATTATTTCAGGTAATTTTGAAGCAAAAATGTCCAAACAAAAGTGCCAGTTCCAGCTTGTTAAATATTTTGTCTTGTCCTTTTTCTTTTATCAAAATGGAGTATTGTGGTTTTGGACTGTTGTTTGGACAAATGATGCACATCTCTTTTCCACTAGGGCATTCTGAACATTTTTTCAACACATCAAAGGCAAAGATTATGAGCAGATTAATCTATAAACTATTGTTAAAGGCAGCTCTAAAAACATGCACACACATACTTGTTGCTGTAGCGTCTCATCGCGTTGGGCGACGTCTGACAGGACCGTCACCAGAGCAAAGCTGAAGTTCTCTGCAACAGGAAGGGCCTCTGCAGGACACACGATAAAACACAGCGCCATAAATGATCGTGCAGTACAATAAGCATCAATACTTAGCGCCGGCAGAATAACATGTATTGGTTGGAGAGATTATTAAAGGGAGTATTTACCCCTTCCTTTGCGTTCTGAGCTTTCTTCAATCCACTGAACTTTAGGAAGCCCTTTGAGCAGCACAAGCAGGTAGGGGACGATAGCATCTTTGTGCTGCAAGAAAAGCATTCCATTAGTATGTTATATCAACATCCTGTAAACTCACGGTTAATAATAAAGCACCTTAAAGTGGAGAGGTAAGAAGGTAGGACATTTACCTGCAGCTCTGACTCCACCAGGAAGATGCCGAGTGCAATCACAGCATCTCTCCTCCTCTCGTCCAGCTGGAAGACTCCTCTGAAGTCCACGGGACACATGCATTGTAGCTTCTGGACCTGTGAGGAGACCACGCACGAGTCAAATCTGCAAACTGGTTTGATTAAAACATGAGCTTTAAAACCACAACATCGTCAATGGATAATACAATCTATAAAAAGGACAGACTTCTCCTGCCCTCAGGGCTCACACAGACACATCAGTCCTGTCTGATTCCATTAGTGATACAGATTTTTGGGCCTCTATGTGAGTCAGGAATCAAAGCCAAAAGCTGCCTCAGGAATGAACTGCCTTCATGCCAGACTTAAACTGTGACAGGGAACACAGACAGTGGATCACTAGTTATTTATGTTTTATCTTATTGAAGAAGACATTGAAGGTAAAATGCTGCAGAAGGGGATTTTGTTGAGTACTTTTCTTATTTCTGCCGTAGAAAAACGTTAATTTAAACGGCTAGATCCACTTCAATATGTTAGTCTAGACTCTGTGTCAAAATCAAAAAATCATCAAAATTAAACAAAAGGGATTTGGATTTTCAGCTGGATTTGTGTCATAGTTCAACCTGCTGTGCTTGGACATCGACTAATCCTCTTACTGAGGCAGGAGGAAAAATGTACTCATGGAAAACATTTACTTAAAATCTGAAGTATATGTTCTGAGACGACCCGAGGCTCTCACGCCAACTTAAAGGGGGGTCAGAGTACAAACAATGAGGCAAGTGTGCTCAAGCAAAGCCTGGGGTTAGAACTTTACCAACAAGGAATTCAGAAACTTCATGAGGGATGGGAACGAAGAAATAGTTGCATAATATTTGATCAATCTGCACTGTAAGCCTCCGAGCTTATATATCCCTTAAGTCAACGCCTGTAAAAGTTGTAGGAACAATTGCGTTGTGCAAAAAAATGATGCATCTACAGAACACTGCCTTCCTGTTGTTCTTGATCTATTCATTGGTTGCTGCCAGTCACTTCATATTTGCTTGTTTAAGAGTATTAGGCAAACAGAGACGGACTTCGAAGATGTATCTTTGGGTTTGGGCTATTATAAAATAATAGTTTCTCATCATTTCAGGATATTTTATGAGCTTTGTTGGCAAGTTACTTTTTGCTCAAGTTTAATTGAACTGTATTTGAGGCACCAATGGCCTAGCGGGTATTAGTGAGCCCCATGTACAGAGGCTGTTGTCCTCGGAGCGGGTGGCCCAGGCTCAAGTGCAACACGTGGCTCCTTTTCCTGCACGTCATTCCCCACTTTCTCTCCCCGGTTCCGACTCTATCAACTGTCTAAATAAAGGCATAGAAGCCCAAAGATATCTTTAAAGAATAAACTGAACCGTACTTGACCCCTTTCATATGATCAAAATCTAAGAGCAGCCCAGTAGAGTACATTTTTAATGTGTCAGAAGGCTTTACTATCTGTACAGCATACGACACCATCTGTCACTGAGGCCTTGAACCGGAAGAGGGAAGAAAAAAATCCCAAAAAAGAAAACCCTTAACAGAGATTAAAACTGTGGAAAACCTCAGGGTGAGCAACAGAGGAGAAATCAATCTCTCAGGACAGGAAGAGAAATTAAATCGACGGAAGAGAATCACAGGCCTCATCATGAAATCTAGAGATTAATCAATAAATAAAAAGTCGATCCATTAGTAATGAAGCATTTATGTTGTTCCTTATCTACCGTTAAAGTGTGCTAACACTCCCTAAAGACCTCGAATACATATGAAAAAGAAGAAAGACAAATATCAAGGCTAGTCGCCACAAACGGACACAATTCACTTGCGCAACAATTCACAAAAAATGGGCTGACTACACATTATTATATTTTTGTTGTCACAGCCCTTTCATCATAGATTCTACTTCCTGTTTAAGTCACAGCATCATTTCCCCTCTTTAAATCTTGGTTAGTGTTTTGCCAAATCAGATAATTCTTTGCCTTCTCTTTGTTGTAGTACAGGACCTTAAATCACAACTGGCTTATCGTGCATTATAAACTGTCAACAGTATTATAAGCACAATTTAATTTTGTAAAATCTGACACTCGTTTTAATTTTATAAACATTGGATCCCTTGGTATATTTCATGTTTCAAGAGATTTTGCGACCTGGATGTATCGTAGTGTACTCATGTAACTCATGTACTATTGATTTCTGGGAGCAGAGACATCAGCAACCAGATTGTCACTGGAAAATGCTGCAATTACTTTAACAATACACTGACCCACTCAATATCTCTGTGAAATTAATTGCACAAAGTACTTAAGCAGAGAGCTTCAGGACAGAAAGTGGATTTATGGATCCAAGCAGCTTTTTGAAAATGATTCAACAATCAAGTCCCTTAAAAGCAACAGTGAAAATCACTATAATGTTTTTTTTGTGTGTGTGAGGAATAGTACTGAACTGACAGACAGCATGCTGCAGTTTTATAGACTGCCAGCCAGCAGCCAGCATCAACAACCCTTGATATATGATTTAATCGATCCATTCAAACATTAGATTGGTGCTACTTCTGATTACCTTACTAACAAATGTAGATGCCTTTGAGAAAATTTACATTAATCCAAAAATAAAAACTCAAGAAAATCCCTATTATTGTTTACTTGTTTGTTATGGATAGGTTGGGTTTCTTAGGTATTTTCTTGTGATTATTCCTTTAATTTGTATCAATCTAATCACACCGCCTTAATGTGTAATAACTAATCTACCTCGTGTAAAATAATCTGTTACCCCCTCAATAATTTCTTATGGAAATTTCAGCATCTTTTGCACTCCTCACCACTGAACTACTGTCTAATTTAGTCAAGTTAGTCTTTGTTTATTGTTCATATTTAATGCTATAATTTTGTAAATGGAGAGCTAAGTTTATCAAAGTCAAATCCCACATATCTGTAAGCATACCTGGCCAATAAGACTGATTCTGATTCTATATGTTTGAATGTGCTTTCCATTCATTTTATGCAAGAGGAAGAAAGTAAAGGAACGAAAGGACCAAAAATAATTGACATGCATCAGATGAAACTAAATAGCAAATTTTAACTTTACATGTGTATTTTAATATTTGGAAGTAAAGAAGTTGTAGTTGTAGTTGACAGAGTGACATCTGCAGGGACTTGAATGTCACAGAATGAAGATTTGTTTTTGTCATTTGTAAAACGCTTTATGTTTTTAGCCTTCAACACCTTCAGGACCTTCAGTTTTGCAACTTCTAAATATAAAACAAAAATGTGGAAAGACTATATTAGTGGTTCGAGGATGGTACCTTGGGGTACTCCATAAAAGCGATTCTGATGCTTAGAAAATAACTTTGACACCAGAGAGACTATTGTTGACAGGGTACTGGAATTTTAAACTCAATATGATTGTAGCTGAAATAAAACAGCACTGATACCGGTTTTTATATCGTCTCACATCAGCTCACTCGGACTTTCCGCTGAAAAAAATACAACCTGTTTGCCTTCACACATGCAGCTCACACAAAAACTAAGGGCGCTTTCCAGTTAGTTTTCTGCAAGTGTGAACTGTGCAACTATATGGATGTAATAACAACTCCAATTGTCAGGAACTGTAAATAAAACTCTCAATAAAACCAGCACACACTAAAATATTTAACATACTTGTTATGTTCTCCATAAGTGACTTTTATGAATGAATAAGACAGCTAATAATGAGTTAATGTGAAACAACGCAGGGGGGATTTCAATGACAAAGATCGTAAACATATGGCACATGAAGGGAACTCTCCCTTCTTTTACTTTTCTTAAACGATAATCTGAGATTAACTTCAGGTTCAAAACAGCTAACGTTAGCCGTTAGCCACCTTTCATGTCAGTTAGTAATGTTTCGCATTTTGATCTCAAAATTACAACAATTCATATATAGGAATGCTAAAAGACATGTTTACTGTGTATTCAAATGCACAACACAGACCACACAGGTAGAGAAGCGGAGTTAAGGACGGGCCCTGATGCCAAAGTGTGTTTGACAGGTATTAGCCTGTTAGCTCTCATCTTCACGTACTGTCCTTAAACGTTACCTTTTCTATCGGTGCGTGCCGGTGAGCCGCCAACGACCGAGCCAAAGACAAGACGGTGTTAAAATAGAATCCTCTGGATCCGCCTCCATTGAGAGACATGTTTAAAAAACGCCTTTTAGTACAGCCACACCAACACAAACATCTTCTGTCATTTATTATTACGAGGAGGAACGAAAAGCGAAGTCCGCACTGACAAGTACGGCAAGAGGGAGGTCCAAACAGGGGAAAGGCAAGGTCACAGGAGGAAACGTTATTATTTACAGTCTGTGGAGGAAATATGAAAATAAATAAATAATAATGAATAATGATCGTGGTCACATTGAAAAGAAAAATGTTGTAAATGTTGAAATAAATTACTAAAGAAAGAGATATATTAAGTAAATAAACAGCAGGGTCATAATGGAAGAAAGACAACAAATAATGAATACTAAGAATGACATTATACAATTAAAAGACATTTTCTTAGGGAAAAATAATCAAATAAAAATGGAAAAAAAATAGAAATAAATTTAAAATGTTCAATTTTTTGAAAATTAAGTCAAAAATAAACAGATTTGTAAAAAAAAAAATTGTAAGGTCAATAAAAAATAATCAAATAAAAATGGAAAAAAAATAGAAATAAATTTTGTTCAATTTTTTGAAAATTAAGTCAAAAATAAACAGATTTGTAAAAAAAAAAATTGTAAGGTCAATAAAGATTTTTTTAACGTTTTAATATAAAGCTTGATTAAAAGAAAGGGCCCAACTTAAAATAGTTTTTTAATATTTATAAAACATGCAAAAAAAAACTGAAAAGCAAAGATGGGATGGAAATAACTCAGACGCTGTCATTGGGCGAGAGGCGGAGTACACCCTGACTGGTCACCAGTCAATCACAGGGCTGATATACAGAGACAGACAACCAGGCACACTCAGATTTACACCAACGGGTAATTAAAAGTCACTAATTAACGTAGTGAGAAAGTCTTTGGACTGTGGGTATCCAGAGTGAAACCACGCATGCACAGGGAGAACATGCAAACTCCACACAGAGAGGCTCCTGTCAGACGGGGACTTGAACCAGGAACCTCGTCACTGTGAGGCAGCGCTAACCAGAGCACAACCATGCTACCTGATTAGTTTCTAAATTAATTAAAAAAAGGATTGCATGTGAAAAAGTGATTAAAAAATAGAAATGAGGGTAAAAAATATTCTTACGAGACACTTGAACGCCAAAGAAGCACAGAAGAATACCGTTATATTTTTTTAAATAAACACCACAACATTAACAGTCTGATCCCATGTTTATTTGTGAGCACATTTATCAGATTTAATTAGACTGAAGGCACAATACTTGTTTTTTTTTTAACTGCTGGAAGTTTTCAGTGTGCTGATATGAAAATCAAAAGATATTTAAATAGCTTTGCATTCACTACATCTTCATATATTTAAGGTCATGTTGCAGCTGAAGCAGAATGAGGGCTTGCGAAAAGAAAACATTTGTTAAACAAACGATTGCATTGCATGTAAACATGACCCACAAAGCTACAAACTCCAGACTTCAACATGGCATCGTATTTTAATGAGCAGCAGTTAGCACATCGGGTCTTCAGTTGGTTTAAAAAAAAAAAAAAGTAAGTAAAGGCAATGAATGTTACATTATTAAAAGTTTCTTCTAAATCATATAATTATCCGTGGAATGAGATGGAAGGCACTGTTAATCGCATTTCTCAATCAGGCATGTCTTAGCAATAAAGGCAATTTAAGATTTAAAAGCACAGAATTAAAGAAAACAGTTTTGATGAGTAGAAAAGATATGAACATCTCGGAAATACCTGCCTGGAAATAAACATCCGGCAACACTGCAGGGTGTGCAATAATATTAATTAAAAAAAAAAAAAAAACTGTAGTGACTAAGTACATACAACATTCATTCTTAATCTCAAAAGATCTCAAAATGAATCACACAATACATAGGCACTTCTTTATAGCATCAATCTAGTATTATCTAGTAGTCTAGATAATTGAATTAAAACTCTGAACGCCTTTTTACACCACTTAAAACCACTGTTTTGTGAATGTGCATTTTCTAAATACGCTGTGTATACACAGCATAATATGCAAAAAAAAAAAACTGCAACTACAATCTTGATTTTTAGATTTAAGGCATTTAGTTGTTAATGTAGCTGTTGCCTCTGTAGCATGTGACATCTGAATATAATTTATTTAATTAGCTAAGGAATGATTTAACAGTAAGTCTCAAAGAAAAAAAGGAAAAATGGAAATACTTCCATATAAAAGGGCTTGAAAAGGTTTGTTCTCTGGTATAATCGCTCTTTTCAAGTATAATTTATTTGTCTACAGTGTCTGAATCACATTATATTGGGTGGGATATCTTTTCTCTATAAGTATAAACAGAACTTAAAGCGCTACAGATGACACACTTCTCCATAATATTCCCATTTTTCTCATCACTCAGATCTAAATAAATGCTCTCTTCCTTTTCCCTGAGCTCTTTAGGAACTATACCCCTCTGGTATTTAAGAAAAGACATCATGTGTAAGCTCTGACTTGCATCACAAGCTTTTTTTTTCTTTTTTTTCTTACATGCAGGTAATGCTTCACCTGTGTTACAAATAAAATCAAGAACACACCAAACCCTTCCTTTCTGTCTGAAAATCACTCAGAGGTAGATATTAGAGCCTAGAAGCAAGGTTTGGGGACATCGGTTTTCTGTGACTTGTGTAGCACCACAGTGGGTTTTTTTTTTCAGTCCGTCTTCCAAACTACGTTCAGGACCTTCACGACTTCCTCATAGATGATGAAGACTATGGCCACGTCCATGCACACCCGACCCAGCCGAGGAACAGTGCCTTTGTAGAACCTGAATAAGACAGATTTACAGGGTGAATACACATGGAATAAGTTTGTACACAAAAGAGTTTTAATACATCAGCCACTCATATAGATTACTAGCAGTGCATTATCACAGACACTGGGTGTCCTTGTAAGCAAAACACTGCAAATACTACTTCTCCTACTGCTACTGAAAACATTATTTTTCTCTTTTTAAATCAATAAAAGTGGCCAAAACCCATGTCAGACATAAACCGAATCGAGTTACAGTATTTAGAGAAGTGGAAAGACAATATAAGTGGTTCGAGGATGGTACCTTGGGGTACTCCATAAAAGCGATTCCCTGCATTCTGATGCTTAGAAAATAACTTTGACACCAGAGGGACTATTGCTGACAGGGTACTAGAATTTTAAACTCAAAATAATTGTAGCTGAAATAAAACAGCATTGATAGCGGTTTTACACCATCTCACATCAGCTCACTCGGACTTTCCGCTGAAAAAAATACTAGTGGGCTGGCAGCAGAAAAGTGAAAAATTCTGCTATTTGCCTTCACACACAGCTCACAAAAACTTAAGGCGCTTTCCAGGAGTTTTCTGCAAGTGTGAACTGTGCAACTACATGGATGCAAGTCAACTCCAATTGTCAGGAACTGTAAATTAACTCTCAATAAAACCAGGCCACACAAAATATTTAACATACTTGTTTAGTTCTTCATAAATCACACCAACTCTGCATATTCTGAACTTACGCCCTTGGTCCCTCGTGCTTCATGATTTTGACGGCACAGTCCATTGTGCTTTTGTACTTGTGAGCCTCCAGACCCTGTTACATAACACACAAACATGTGAGTTATTCTCCTCGATTGGGTTAAATGTACATGTTCTAAGTCATGAACTTGGTATTCAACAAACCTGCATTCTGGTCTTAATGACATCCAGAGGAGTGTTTCCAAACACACTGACAGCACCGGCTACAGCTCCAAACATTCCAGTTATCAGCGGGTTAATGGCTTTGTTGGGGTCATCACCTTAACAAATTAAAAAACAGTTAAAAAAAACAATTCTTTAGCTGCAACTTTTTGTTTTGAACAATGATTTATTTAAAAACACACCTTTGTACCAGTTCCTCAGTGAAGTCATAACGTAGAAGCGGATGGCCTGGTTGGATCCTTGTTTTAACACGGTGGCTGTCAGGCCTTGATAAGTCCCCCTCAGACCTGAATGATAGTGGTTAAAATGATAAGTCAGTAAAATGGAGAGGGCCACTTGGCTAGGTGTGCCAAAAAAGACTCAAAACTATCAGCGCACAGAACAAAGACAAACGAGCTCATCATAAAGAATAAGATGCTTGATGTATAAAGGTCACTATTTAATAGGAAAATTATCTAAAAATGCGAAAGCACAATATGCTGCCAACATAGAAATTAAAAACATTGTGGCAAACATCTGTTTTTTTAAGGGATGGGCTGGATCGATAAAAGAAAATCATCCCCATCCCCCGGTTAAACCACCCCCTGATAATAGATCATTTAAATACATGGGGAGAGAATGAAAAAGCTTCAGTGTTAAATCCTGTGTGGGTGTGTGTTGGAGTTTAACCAGCAGGGGGCGGTAAAATACAGCTCATCATCCTTACCTTCAGTTCGAACAATCTCCCTCACCCCGTGGAAAAATCCCTTGTACTTTGGGTTTGCTGACGTCTGATCATGGATGAATTTGACCTTTAAAAAAAAAAAGGAAAAAAAAGACATCATTAGGATGATTTATCGATACAATCAGAAGGATGATCGAGTCGAGACAAAAACAAATGAGAAAGCATTTTAAATCCGGGGCAGGCAGAGTTAAGTGCAGAGCAGCATCAAACATATTTAGCTTTCATGGAATACAATGGCTCTTTATCTTCTTTGAGGCGGACAGGATGAGTGAAATGAAAGCTTATGGAGCTGATTGAGTAACAAGGACTCTTTTGTTTTGTTGTCCTGCTGTGTCATGGGAATAATGGAGGTAGTGGATTCATTCATTACAGAAATCCTATTAACATATTTCATTTGACACATAAAAAGAGATCTTCTGTTTGACTGTTGTCATCTAGTTTTTTATTATCATTGGCACAAAAATACCGACTGGTACCTTGACTGTCTCCATGGGACAGACTACGACCACAGCTTCTGCAACTCCAGCCCCGAGTCCGCAGAGGAACCCTCGCTTACTGTCCAGCTTCCCTGTTTCATCTCTCATCTTGTTACTGAGGAACTCAAACACCCCAAACCTGTGGAAGTTGATGGAGAATAAAAACGAGGATTAATGACTCAAAATAAAAAAAGTGACATATAT